TGCCCAGCCCGGTCCTCATCTGGCCACTGTTCCTGCTGCCAGGGGAAGGGCTGGTGAGGACCTGGGAGGGCTGGGTTCACCAGCCCTGTGCAATCCGAACAAGCTGTGTCCCCCAGCTGCACCGGGGGGTTATTTATTCACAAGCATCGTACTGTTTTGATATTGTAGCCTGCACTGTTCCTTTCCTTTTTTTTTTCCTGTTTGTTTTTGTTTTGGGTTTTTTTTAATGGTTGCCAAGTATTTAAGGAGAAATTGTACAGACAAAGGCGCAGTTTATCTTCATGCAAATAAAGTAAAATGATAAAAACCACCCAGGAGGTCCTCTGCCATTGATGGAGACCTCCGGCTCCTTGGAGCGTGGCAGTCGGTAATGCTGGGGGCACCTCATGCTCTGACCCCCGCATCCATGGACCCATGGGGGTACCTGAGCACGGGGGCAAAGGGGTGCCCCGGTGGGAGTGAAGCTGCCGAGAACCGGGGGAGCCCAGGGCAATGGGGTTTCTGCGCCTCTGAAGCTGGGAGTTTTCAAGTCCTTTCTTTCCCCTCCATAACCAGGGAGAGGTGAGCTGGGCCGGGGCACGGGAAGCGATAGGAAAAGGCATCCCATGGGAATGCCAGCACCCACAGGGTGATGAACCCCCCACCCCCACGGAGCAAAGGGCCAGTCTCCAACTCCCAGTGCTACCGACGAGGGGAAAGGAAGCCCCGAGTACACGGCGAGAAGCACCCTGTGCCGCCCCAATGTCTCCCCACGGACCCCAGCAGCACCCACCACCGCTGAGAGCTGCACCCAGGGAGCTGGGTCCCCTCCATGTGTCTTTTCTCTCCTTTTACTTTGAGTCATTTTTCCCTCTTTTCTGTCTTCTGCGCAAGGCAGAGGCAAGTGTCTCCCAGCCCCTGTTTACCTCATGCCTCCCACATCGCTCCCCACCACCCTCCCTGTGCAGCCAAACCCTTTTGACCCAAACTTTGTGGGTCAATGCAGCCACCCCCATGGCCCAGGGGAGCAGAGAGGCACCTGCGCCCGTTTAGGGGTGCGTGGGAGAGGGCTGCTGGCCACTGCGTTGGTGTTGATGTTGCCACAGGGGCATTTTCCCATGCCCAGACATCTTCCTCAGGTTTAGCCGTGGGCAGGGTGTGTCGCTGGTCACATTTAAGGATGGGGTGGCTGGAGACGGGCCATCACCCCACCCGGCTCTGTGGTCCCTATGGATGCTGGCAGCCGCACTGCCAGTCCCGGCTCTGCAGTAGGATCTTTTCCAGGGCTGAAGTGGTGGTGGGAAGAGTTAATTTGAGTTAATCGGGATTCTTTGCTTATCAGCATCCCTTGTTCACCAGTCTCCCATTGGAAACACACTTCCTATGACCCTTCCCCTGCCCCAGGAGGGTTGTGCCCCTCGGACGTCAAAGCTACTGCAGCAAGTTCCCGCAGGGGCTGGGAGGGGGTGTGGAGAGGAAAAGGACCTTGGGTGGGTGAGATTTGTGGCTGGCTCTTTAGCTGGCTCTGTAGAGCAATGGGGCAAGGGATGTCCACCACTGCAGCAGCTCTGTTTAGCCTGGAGGGAACTCCTCCATTTCTCCAAGAGGAAGAGGAGGGCAGCAAAGAAGGGCTGGAGGAAGGATGGGAGGAGGTGAGGGGCTCAGCCTCCCACATTTTCCAAAGGCCTCAATATATCGTATCCAGGCTCCTGGCTCACACCACACCAGGCAAAACCGTAGCAGAGCAGAAGAGCAACGGCAGGGGCAGGAGCAAATCCTTCCCTTGGGCCTCGTCGCGATAGAGGGGCCCTGAACACCCCCCCAGGCTCCTCAAGGTGAAGAATACCAAATCCTTTTTCAGTAGTACCTGCAGATGCTGCAGCCGCAGGCTGGCACAGACAGGACCCCCCTGCCCCGTGCCTGGGGTCCCTTTGCACCGCAGTAGCTTGGCCCCAGGTTAGGGCTGCTGTTTACCGAGCACAGGTCTGATTCCCACTTGCATCTTATTTCTGCAAGAGGCTGCTTTCCTGGAGCTGATGCCTTTGCCTGATCCTTGCTGAGGTGTCCAGAAACCTGACGGCTGGCATGCTCATAAATTAAAAGGCATGTAGATGACTGCGCTCAGAAAAAACATCTAGTGGATTTTTCCACTCCATGCTCTCTGGACCTTTCCCGGGGAGAGCTCACTAAAAGTGGATGCTGTTACCCTCACCGGTCCCCTGTGGGGTTACAAACACAGTCTTTGCCCTGTACAGCTGCATTAAGAGTCTGGAAAGGGCACAGTGTGCACATGAGCCAGTCTTGGAGATGCTGCTTGTCTCCTGCGTTAGCAAACCCCTGGCTAACACAGCCCACTAGCCCACTCCCAGCCCCTGTCCCCCAAGGCTCCCACTGGCCAAAGCCACATGCTGAGATGCCAGGGACATCAAGGGTACCAGGACACCCCCCACCAGTGTCCGAGGTCGGGCGTGAGCATGCTGGGGGAAGAGCTGCTCTCGACCTGCCAGCTGGACTGCAACCTCCATCCCAGCGGTACCATCACTAACCCCAACCGCCTCAATGAACCAGCCTGACCATCAGCTGGGATAAAAATTAATCCCACGATGCCCTCTGATGGTGGAAACGATGTCTGGTGTGGCCAGTGCTGCGCCAGTGCTGAGCTCCTGGGAACAGCAATACCCACACGACTCCAGCTCGGGCGTGGAGGGGAGGAGACGGGGCGGACGGGACAAAGCAGAGGGGCTGCAGGAGAGATGCTGCAGAGAGGGGTCAGCTCTTCGCTGCCCAGTGGCACCAAGAGCGGGAGGGGCTCAGATCTCTGGGTGCCCAGGCTGGATTTGCACCCACATTTGCAGTGCCAGGGCCTGCCAGGCTATGCCTTTCTCAGGGCAGGGTCTGGGTCTGGCCCCATAACCAAGCTGGTATGTGGCCGGGAGAGCTCCTGCCCGTACCCACGTGCCAGCCCCGTCAGCCTGAGGGGGAGGCTGGGCTGGTGGAGGAGCACACCGCGCTGCTGACCCCTGGAAAACGATGCGCTTAGTCAACTTGATGGGCTCTCCGTTAATAAAGAGCATCTCTGACCCAAGCTGTCTCCGAGCTGTAACGAGTCGTCCTTCTGCACATGAGCCATCAGCAGCTAACGGAGCCGATTCTTCCTCCTCTGGATAATGCATGGGCATGTCCTGTCCCCGCCGTCTCACGCTGCGGGGAGGGGATGCTGGTGGCAGCGCGTGGCTGCACCATTGCATCATTGACGCGGATAAAGAAACCGAGCTTTGATGAAGCAGCATCAACATGCCACAGTTTTGATGTTGCTGTTTCTACCCCCCCCAGCCAGAATCATTCTCCAGCTCCAGAAGGAAACTTTCCTCCTCTTCCTTGTTGGGTTGCTTCTGGTTTAGTCATCTTCAGACATGCTTTATAAAGCTGGTCCTTTCTTGCCAAGCTCAAAAAACATCTCTTCTACCCACGGCTCAGTGGGATGCTATATGACCCCGTGGCATCCACAGCAGCTCTGTCCCCACCACCTCCCCCTACCCAAGCCAACCCCACAACAAGAAAAACATAGTGGTTTTTTTAAGACGACCAAAGATGGGCTTGTTTTATTGTCACACCTGAGGACACTTTCAGAGAGGACCATGCCATGGCAGGCTGAGGTGCAGGCCCCCGGGGTACCTCCAGGGAGGGGGCAGGCCCGCAGGCAGCAGAGGTCATGGCCGGGAGCATCGCCGTGTGCCACGCTACCGAGCAGCAGCTGCAGCATCCGCCTGGGGTAAAGGAGCGAGACCCGAGCCCTGTGCGGGCACCACTGCTGAGAGACCGGGGTCAGGGATAAGACGGGAAACACATCCCAGCCATGGCTCTAATGCACGACCAACGCAGCCCAGCTCCTCCACCCTCTCCTGCCCCTCAAAATTCAGATTTTACTTTTAGCTCTGCTTTTCCACCCCCAGCCCCATTTCATACTCCTTTGTACCTGCCCTCAGTCCCGGTACCTGCCCCACATATGCATCCAACTTGGTGCCCCGTGTCTCTGAGCCCTGCCTGCAAACTGGGGCTCTGCCCACCTGCTGCCCACGCATCCGCCAGGCACACCAGTCTCCCCGCTGCATCTTCTTCCTCCTGGCCATGTTTACAACCCTCCCTCTACCTCGCAAAGGGGCAGGTTTCTCTCAGGCTCTGCAGCATCCCACCCCACCAGTGCATCTCCAGCCATGGGGCTCCATCAGCAGGTGACACGGGCTTATCCAGGACACTCAACCCACTCCATCCCTGGTGAAGTGGTCCACCCTCCCTCTATCCCATAGCCCCAGCCCAGACCTACCTTGGTCCAGATCAAAGACCTACCTTGCTCTTTGTCTTGCCCTCCAATCTGTCCTCACTTGGGCACTGCAGGAGAGCACAGGACATATAAACCCCCTAAACTCTCCTCACCTCACTCCCCTTTTGACTTCCAAAAGCAAGCCAGGGCATGACCAACCCGCTTGTGTGCTCACACCAACAGGCACCTGCGCACCCCATCCCCGTGCACACACGCTCCGAGCACACCACCATCACTGCCTGCCTCTGGCCAGCTTGTCCCCAACATCCCAGCCTGGGCGACACCCAGGTGCCTCGTGTCACCAGCACAACGACCAGCTCAGTCTCCTGCCTGACTTCACCGTGCTGCCTGCATGGCTGCGCTGACAGCCC